CAAATGTTCACCAGCAGAGGCAGCGTACTAAAAATAAAATAACAGGTGAGAGCATTTAAAATCACCCAGGAGACTACTGTGCCAAACGTCACTCATGGTGAGAACAAGAGACAGGAACTGGACAGGCAGATGGGGCAGGGCCCAAAAGCAGCAGCCACAGTGCCCTTGGCTCTCGGGCCTCACCAAGAGAGAGCTCTGGTTTCTCATCTCCTAAATGAGTGTCCCTGCATTGAGGCTATATGCAAGGGAGACGCTAGTCCAGATGCTAATTCCCAATTTAACCTCTGGATTTTCATGATGGAAATGGCTTCTATCTATTACCCAGTGTCAGCCCATCTCCTAAATGGAGATGTTACAGTAGCCTTGATCAGGCTCCACTGAAACCCCTAAAGGTCAGAAGAACGGTCTTACCTCTAGACCTAACTTTCCAAGCTATACAAAACATAAGAGTTCATCCATTGGGCCTATCAATCATCTGACCAAAGGACGGCCCATCAGAAAGGCTGATTCATCTCTTAGGCCATGCTAAAGAGATGGGAGAAATAATTATGCCCTTAGAGGAGATAATGTGCTTTTCCTTCCCAGAATCCCAGACCTCTGAACAGTCGATACAGAACCAGAGGCTATGTTAGATCTGGCCTCTGAGTGAGTCCTAACTTCTCTGTCTCTGATGCCAGCCAGAACCCCAGAACACTTCCCTACGTACTCCTGGCTTTTTCGTTCTTTCTCTGATGCTATGTTGACACCCTCCCCACACATATGGCTGTGTGCTGAACCTCCATGCCTAGCTTAAAGTGAGGGAGAGAGAGAAGAGAGGCAGGAAGGCCCACGGTGGACACTTGTCCTCCTTTCCGTCATCTGGCCCATCACATCCAGAGATCCCAGTAACTCACCCAGCTTTAGGGTGTTCTACAAGGAGTTGGAAATGGCCTTCTGGCACCAGGGCTGTTGTGGCAGTGCAGTGACACCAGACTCGAGCTCTTATTTCAACAGAACCCAAAGACTTGGTAGTACTTGGGCTTTCTGCCACTTACATTTGAGTAAGGGATAGACTATCTGTGATGATATGCTAACCCGACACAACCTAGAATTACCTGGGATGAGTCTTAATTGAGGAATTGCCTAGATTAGGTTAGCCCGTGGGGATATCTGTGGGGTACTGTCTTGACTGGCAATTGGTGCAGAAAGACTCAGCCCACTGTGGGTGGCATCACTCCCTAAACAGGGAGTTCTGAACTGTATAAGTCAAGTTAAGCACAAGCCAACAAGGAACATAAACACACTTATTTCTCTCCGCTCTAGACTGTGGATGTGAGATGACTGACTGGCTGCTTTGAATTCCTGCCTTGACTTCCTTCAGCGATGAACTGTAACCTGGAATAAACCTTTTCTCCTCTAGGTTGTGTTTTGTCCTTTCATCACAGCAATTGAAACGAAACTAGAACACTAAAGAACAGCAAAAGGACAGGGTCCACATGAGAAGGATACACAGTGTCTCATAGCCCAGAATTGAACTCTTGAGCTCCAGGCCCAGCTGAAACCACCAACCTGGAGACTGGTGTAGAGATATAGCCACCCCCACCACCCCACCCGACACCTGCAGTACTGACCACACCCAAATGACGCGGTTGTGACCTGTTAAAAGGAAGAGGAGGGGTTGCTCGGAATCTCCTCCAGGTTGAGAAGAGCATCAGGGGGACAAGGGCCTGCATCCTTAGGGCTGGAGTGATGCGACAGTCACTTGATTCCTGTGTAAGTTCTTTTCTCAAAATAAACTCCACTTCATCTTACTGGTCAAGCATTCTGACTTCCATGCCCATAGACTGGGGCAGTGTTTGCAGATCTCCCTGAAGCTGCTCCCGCTGTGGTTCTGACAATTCAGCTCTGCCTTTCTCACACCAAGATTCCCACAAAGGAGGCAGTCACAGGGAATGGCGGGGGCTCCCGGGACCTGCCATAACATGCGGGTGCCAACCACCCAGGAAGGCAGCTTACTAGGTTGGAAGGGCTGCCAGGGCAGAGTCCCATAGACTGAATGGCTTCAATTAGCCCCTCAATTCTGGAGACCAGAAGTTGGAGATCACATATCAGGAGGGTTGGTTCCTTAGGAAAGCATCTACTCTTTGCCCTTCTCCTAGCTTCTCTTAGCTTGCTGGCATCCCTCATAGTTTATTTGGTGTTTTTGTTTGTTTGTTTGGCCTCTGGGTCCATTATCCCAATCTCTGCCTTCAAGTTCTGGCATTTTCTCTGTGTGAATTTCTTCTTTTTCTGGAGATACCAGCTATATCGCATATCTGTGGCCTCCTCTCAGCTAAATGACCCTGTTTCCAGCTGAGGGCCCATGAGAGAAGATTTCAATATGTAAGTTTGTTGGGTGGGAAACAGTGCCCACTGAAAAATGAAAAATGGAGAGAAGCTGAAGACAGCAGACTTGAGTCAGCAGAGCCAGAGGAGGAAAAGCCAGGTGGCTTTGGTATTAGGAAAGGTGTGCGTGAGAGGGAAGACAGGTGCAGTGACGAATGTCTGAACCCTAGTGCCCCTTGCCGCTATCAACCTTCTCTAATAGAATTGTCCCCACCTACTACCTTTGTTCATGTCCCAAGTACATTTCAGACCACTGATGTCTTTTCTGTCCTTTCTACCTTGCCAAAGCCTTCCTTGTAAAGGGGCACCCCTGTCATCAAATCCAGCAGGTGCTGTTCTATACATTGTGTCCCTTAGAAGCCTTTGATGGTTTCGACACCCTTCTCTTTCTTCCTCCTCTTCATGTGTTTTGTTTTATGAGATTTTGTTTTTGTTTTCAAGGCAGGATCTCTCTGTGTAGCTTTGGTTGTCCTGGACCTCGCTTTGCAGAGCAGGCTAGTCTTGAACTCACAGAGATCCTTCTGCCCCTGCCTCCCGAATGCTGGGATTAAAGACCACAGCCCAGCAGTTTTATTTGTGTTGGTTTTTTGTTGTTGTTGTTTTAGAAAGAGTTCTTCATGTAGCATGTTCTCCTAGAAATCTATGCAGATGAAGATGATTTTAAACTCCCGATCCTCCTCCTCTACCTCTCCGTGCTGGGATTTCAGGCATTGGCCACCCCATGCCCCACCTGGAAATCACAGGTCTATGCCTTTTAAGATGCATTTTCGTGGTGTTAAGGAGAAAATAACTCAGTTGGCAAGGTGCCTGCCATGCAAACAAGAGGCTTGAGTTTGACCTCCAGAGTGAACATGTCTTGCTCACCTGAAGTCAGATTTAACGGAACCATTTCTTTTATCTGATAGATAACCCTTGGGAGGTGTGGAAGGAACCTGCAAGGAATCTATGTTAAGAGGCTATTCAGGAGCTGGAGAGAAGGCTCAACATTAAGAACTTGCTGCCCTATCAAGAGGAATTGAGTTCAAATCCCAACACCAACATCAGGCACCTCACAAATACCTGTAACTCCAGGTTCAAGGTGCCTGAGTGTCAAGAGACAGTCATAGACAACCTGCTACACACATTTCAATGCCAAAAGAAAACCTACAATTATAAACAGCGTATTCAGGGCAAGCGTGGTGGTGCATGCCTTTAACCGGGATCTCCATGGGTAGTTCCAAGGTAGCCAAGACCACCTAGAGAGATTGTCTCAAAAAACAAAAGGAAAACAAAAAGGCAAAACAAAATAAAAACCTAACAACAGAAACACAAAACAAACGAAAACCCTCACAAAACTTTATTCAGATCACGCTACCTCACTAGGCTGGTCGAGCACCCAACACTTCGGTGCTGGGATTCTCAACCCAATGAGAGAATCCCAGCATTCACTCCTCGCTTCCTTTTGTTATTGTTTTTTGTTTGTTTATATATAGCTTCACTATATAAGCCCTGGCTGGTCTGGATGGAGCTCACTATCTAGACTCCTCTGCCTCTAGAGGGATGGGATTAAAGGCGTGGGCCATGGCACCTGGCTCATTCCCCTCATTCTCCAAATGCGTTAGTCTACTAGCAGTCAAGCTTCTTTCACACTCTCCCAAACTGTGCAAACCAGTGACCCTCTATCACTTTGTAGAAGATCCCTTTCCTTTGCTCCGATCCTTTTCAAGTCCTTGTCCACGCGGATTTAGCCAGTGGCTCCCCGCTCAAGCCACAACAGGGCCAACTCGGAGAACGGGCGGGGCTCGGGATGAAGGACAGGGAGGACCCTGCAGCAAGTTGGCTGGGCTGCTTTTAGAGCCACCCCACCCAGTGACTCCCTCCGGGGGTCCCTCCCAGC